TGGATTGCTTAAATTTTTGTAAGGGTAGCACCTTGCAGCCGAGTTGCTTCCACGTGCTTATTCACTTATTTCATGAATGAATGGCAGAAATAAATAGACAGAGATGAACACCAGAACGGATGAACGGCACAGATAAACATCAGAACAAAAGAACAATGGTGATAAACGCCACAACAAATGAACAACTGTGATAAACATCAGCACAAATGAACAACTGTGATAAACATCAGAACAAAAGAACAATGGTTATAAACGCCACAACAAATGAACAACTGTGATAAACATAAAAACAAATGAACAACTGTGATAAACAACAGAACAACTGTGATAAACATCAGAACAAATGAACAACGGTGATAAACACTACAACAAATGAACAACTGTGACAAACATCAGAACAAAAGAACAACGGCAATAAACATCAGAACAAAAAAACAACTGTGATAAACATCAGAACAAATGAACAACTGTGATAAACATCAGAACAAAAGAACAACTGTGATAAACATCAGAACAAATGAACAACGGTGATGAACACCACAGCAAATTAACAACTGTGATAAACATCAGAACAAAAGAACAACTGTGATAAACACCAGAACAAAAGAACAACTGTGATAAACATCAGAACAAAAGAACAACTGTGATAAACACCACAACAAATGAACAACGGTGATGAACACCACAACAAATAAACAACTGTGATAAACATCAGAACAAATGAACAACTGTGATAAACATCAGAACATATGAACAATGGTGATAAACATCAGAACAAATGAACTGTGATAAACATAAGAACAAAAGAACAATTGTGGTAAACATCAGAACAAATGAACAACTGTGATGAACATTAGAATAAAAGAACAACTGTGATAAACACCAGAACAAAAGAACAACTGTGATAAACATCAGAACAAAAGAACAACGGTGATAAACAAGAGAACGGATGAACAATGGTGATAAATACCAGAACGGATGGACGTCAGAGCTTGAGTACTCAGGTTCACCGCCGCCGTTCCTGCTGTACTTGTCCGTCATCCGCATATGCAAGTCGCACTGACACCTACAGCTGCAAGTAACACGCACATCTCAGCATCAGTTAAAGGCAGAGAGGAGGAGAGAGGTAGGTAGAGGGAGGGAGGGAGGTAGATGGAGGGAAGGAGGTAGGAGGGAGGTAGGTAGAGGGAGGTAGGTAGAGGGAGGGAGGGAGGTAGATGGGAGGGAAGGAGGTAGGAGGGAGGTAGGT